CTCAACTTGATTACTCGAATTAAGTTTTATATTAGGACAATAATACATAGCCTCTGGTAGTCTTTTATTAAAAATAGTTTTTCGGGAAAAATGAGGTTTAGAATAATGATTTTTTGAAAAAAAAAAAATGTGGTTAAAAAGTAGGAAATTTTTATTATGTGTGATAAATTTTTATTTTTCATGCAATTCACTCTCTTTCTCTCATGTATCCTCTTCTCTCGCACCTACCCACTAATGAAAGATGGATAAGTATGACATTTTTTAGGTTGAAAATTAAACTGATTAAACATATTTAATTAATAATTTTTATTTACCAAGAACTTTTTTTCAATGCTTGCAATCAAATATACCCTTGTTTCATTAATCCTACAAGTTTTTGTAATATTACTTCCATATCATCACTTGATACCACTACACCGTGTAAAATTATTTAAAATAATAATAATAATCATTTCTTAAACTTGTAACCTTTCAGCAATTTATTTATAACACCACATAGCACTTACATAAAAAATTAGGAATAATGCAACTTGTACGTAAATAATTACGTAATAATTTATATATAGATGATGTGTTAAAATGAAAATGTGAAGTTTTTTATTATTACTTGGTTGAAGAAATCCATACCACATTATGTTCTTGTTTGAAGCCCATTCCTTTCGTAAGACTAAATTTTGAATAGTGTATTAAATGGAAAATGTATGGATAAAAAATTAAAAAAAAATTTTAAATTTGCATGTAATATCACTTTATTAAAAATGTTTGGGTAAAATGATGTTAAAATATTGTTTAAAAATGTATTTTTTTCAAAAAATAAAACTCAAACAAGGGTATATATGTAAATTTTTATATAAATTTATTATATACATGTAGCACAATCGAAAAAATTAGTCACAATATGACCATCAACTGAAAAATACAAAAATTACTTACATAAAAAATGTGACAAATAATGTAGTTAAGTTTGAAACAGAAATTCAATTCTGTAATCCAATTGAAACAAATTTTTAAACTTAATCGCCCAATAGAGAGTTGGCTGAAACTTCAACGACCACGATGAAATTTACCCCCGTATTATTATTGTAAAACATAAATGGGAAGAAATCTCCAAATAAACAGCTAGTCAATATTTAAACCATGAAATATCCAACCTAGGACAATCTAGATACTAAAAGACAGAATTGACAACTTAAGTAACCTAACAATAGTGTGCCATGATAATACATCAAGGAAGAAGAGGACATTGCATATCCTCGTCATCCGATAGATCTAGCGATGTATTAACTAAATAAACGACAGTGATTGACCCAACCAACATGGGGTCGACCCATCAATCTACCGCTTGGATGGTCTATTATCGTCCTCTCCACCATCATCATCATCAGAGTCATCATCAGAGTCATCTTTGCTTGCTCGTTTTCTCTTTGGTGGTGTCTCAACTTTTCCATCATCGTCCTCTTCATCATCCTCTTCAACATCTCCATTCTCTTGGGGTTCGAAATCACTAGCGTCTTCCTCATCCTCGGCATGACCAACTGGTCTAACTAGGTATTCCGTGCCCAGATCCTCCTGCATTATTAATCATAAATCTCATCATACGACCATACTCCGTGGTGTATAACATAAAAGAAAATTTTCCCCTATTGTGCACAAGATTTTCATGGAGAAGTTAATACATTAACACCCAAAAGCAAACAGGCTGACTCTATCAATCGGACGTACACCTCAATCCTTCTTAACCGAAAGCCCTCGTTTTAAACTTACTCATTTTTAATCGTACATTCTACAAAAATATCACTTTTTACAAAATCACTTATTAGATCAATCCAATGGGTTCCCAGAAGATCTTAGACTCAAACAAATTTGAATTTATCCTAAGGCTTCATAGAATTCAAGTGTCCATACAGATCAATATTTGTCTTTAGGGGTCATTTTTAACAAAATAAAAAGTAAAAATTCCATTAAAAACCAAGTACATGTACAAGTTCCAATATAAAATACTAAATTCACTTTCAAGAAAGTGCATTTTTACTTTTAACATGCCCAAAAAAATCTGGAATGACCAGAAAGTAGTCCCAAAAGGACAGATCCAGAACCAAACAGGACCATTTTAGCAAGAGGCCTAAAAGGAAAAACAAACAACTGACCCTGCTTGCTATAAACGAAAGCGAATAAACCCTCAAAAAGGCAATAATTACAATTTCTAGTCAACAAAAAGCTGATTATAATTATAAGAAACTCCAGATCTATTAGTTTGAACAAAAATTAATGCAAAAATACCCAAAAAAGATTAACAAAAAAAGTTATACGTATATACACCTGCCGATATGCATAGTAGGTGTAGAAAACTCCAGATCTACTCGTTCTAAAATAAAATAATGCCAAAAGAACGAAAAATTTATTGCAAACACCCAAAAAAAATCAAAAAATACGTAGAAAAATCATAATAAAGTACATATACATGTAAAAATACAGAGTATTATTACCTCTTCTTCTTCATCTTCGTCGTCGTCCTCGTCGTCGTCATCATCGTCGTCGTCGTCGTCGTCGTCATCCTCATCTTCTTCGTTTTCTACAGTCTCATCCTCTTCGTCGTCACCAAATACAGGCTGCGCCGGTCCCCGACCGCCACTCTCCGGTTCTACGTCCTCCTCTTCCTCCTCATCACTGCTGTCGTCTTCTTCTTCTCCTTCGCCGTCGTCCTCGTTGTCACCTTCACCGTCCACCTCCTCCTCAATTTTTTCCTCAAATTTTTCATCGTCTTCGAGCACAGCCATATTTCCTCGAGCTAAAATCAGAAAATTTTAATACTGATATTTTTAATTTTTTGAAAATTAGGGAATTTTTTGTGAGGGGAATAAAGGGCGAAAGAACGAGGTGGAGGTGTGTTTTCTGAGGGGAGAACGTGAGTTTATCTGAACCGTTGAATTGAGAATTGACGCGGATCAGTGACGTGGCGAGTGATCTGACCGTAAAGTAAAGGGTATTAGGGGTTATTTCTCGTGGGTTCGCGATTGCGGCGCCCTACTCATCTTTGTTATTGTCACGTGATCTGCGCGTGAGGGTATCTAGGGTTTAAGATTCTTCCACTCTTTGTTTTTTCTCTAGGAAATTTTATAATTAGTCCATAAATTTTGCTATTCGAATTTACATGTTAGCCCTCAACGTGTAAATAGTTAATGAACTTGTACGCCATTTTCACGAATGGCAATATTATTAGGACAAACTCGTCACATTAAAAAGTTGGTCATACACAGGGACGGATGTAGAGATTTTGGTGATGATCAAATTTTTAAAAAAAGCGATGAAATTTTTTTCGTTACTTTATATGAGTTATAAACTGTTATATTTCTTTTTGAACTTGATTATTTTTACATTTAAAAAAAAAAATATATATATATATATATATATAATCATTTTTAGGATTTTTTTATTGTTATTTTTTTCCTCTCAATCAATTATTTTTTAAGAAAATAATCTAATAAATTTCCTAATAAAATTTTTGACGTCATTTGAAAAAAATTAATTGATCGTGAGGAAAAGGTAATAATAATTAAAAAAAATCCTAAAAATGATTGAATTTCTTTTATATATAAATTTGTTTCAAATATAAAAATAATCAAGATGAAAAAGTAGTATAACATTTTATAATCCCCTATGAAGTGATAAAAAATTTATTAAGAATTTTTTACGTAAAATAAAAAATAAAATTTGACGTCATACCGCATATAAAATTTCCTAATAAAATTATGTAAATTATATTGAGAAATTTTTGG